CAGGTCATCGAATATTGTTGTACAAGTTTATTTAAGATAAATATTATTTTTTTTAAGACTCATAACCTAGGTAAACTATGTAGAATTATACACAGACCTTTAAGGTATTATTTGAAATATGAACAATATATTTTTCTACATAATATCTACAGTTGTATTTTCCTTATGTTTATTATATTCAAGTAATTGATTTATTTTAAATATTGTTAAGCAACAGTGTGTATAAAATTGTTATAGATTTATATAGTTAAAAAGACTGAGGTTTTTCATTATTCAATTTATTCATACGTCATAATCTCTATATTGTTAATAACTTTAATATCAGATGCCAGGTATTGTTACGATTGTTGTCTAGACATCTGTTTTAAAGTAGTTTTCCACAGATAAACGAACTTGTATTGCTCAGTACATTGTCCGATGAAGGCTCTGGTAGGAGAACCGAAAGCTCGCAAATAAAAGAAAATTATCTTAACGTAAAGAATAGACCGTGAATAATTCTACGTAAGATAAATATTATTGTAACAGTTCACCCGGTTAGACAGTTGGGGTAAATATTGTTCTTAAACATAATTTAAACCTTTGAATACGGAGTTTTTTCTCTCTCTCTTTTTAAATATATTTTTTGGAAATGATGTTTTCGGAAAACCGCTTCATATTACAGACTTTATTTAATATTAAGCATGAGCGTTTCGTATCACCTAATGATCCTAATCATTGAGTAAGAGACATGTGAAAGCAAATGTGTAATGTGCTGCCCTCTAAGAATTTCAGCGTCTATAATACACACGCAAAATTTGGTTCGACTATGTAAAGTTAATTTCAATGAAACAACTGATCTAAACAGCGGTCTAAATAGAAATTCTCATGTACATATTTACAAAGATACGATCCCAGACTTTGTTCTAGCATGAGAATTTCAAAACATATTATTATTGATCGTTCATCCTGAATAGACGAACACTTAGGCAATGAAAAGAGTTAAGCTATGTAGAAACAGGGACTTGTGTTTTAAATCAAAATAATATAATATCTTAAAACCTTTTCCTATTAATTATTCGGTTTATCCCAGCTTAGCTATTATGTTTAAACACCAGCCGGTTTTAAAATATATAATGTTACAATAATAACAGTAGAAATTAGCATAAAAAATTTCAACAATATTCTACATTTATGACAATAATTTGATTTAACAATTCTAACTAATTTCTAACACATGTGCATCTGTCAACCAATAATATGACACCACAGATATTCGAACGGTGGGCAGAGCACAGAAAGCCCATTGTGTAGCTTTGTGCTTAACTTCAAACAAACAATAAAATAGTGATATCGTTTCAATAGTAAACAGTTGTGGCCTTATGCTTTCTGCACATCAGGTATTCGAAATAAGTTTAGTATGAAGTTGTTTTTACTTTTTAATCATAATCATCTGGAATGTAGGCCTAAACATGATTAGAATGTTAAACAAACTATCGTATATACGTCGTTACTTTTTGCCAAAATGGATAAATATACTGTGAGTAAACATAATAATATCAAACTGTTGAACTATATTATAATAAACAAACCTGACCAATCAACTCTAAATCTGCAATCTCCAAACTTAAAATAGCAATAATATTGACACACTAATGGCGAATTTTGATACTTTTATATTCAAACTTCAACTGTAAACTTAAAATGACAATAATATTGACAAATCGATACTGACCCTGTAGCCCGTAGACTTAAAATGACATCCACGTTTTGTTAACGTTGACTTCATTCGAATACAGAATGACCTCTCTAGGCCTTTGTAGGAACTACTACTGTTTAAGGTCATGACTGGAGCTGAAAAGAAAACAAAAATTTATTAAAAGGTCAGCATGCACTATTAATATAACGTGTTTAATGCAACATTATTAGATACTGTTAATACAAAACCAAATGCTCTGTTAAGTACAATATATCCTCCTAATATATCTAAAGATATATCAGTATAATCTGCTAATATGTCTAATACAAGATCGATACACACTGTAAACAGATTTAATAAAAAATCAATAAGCACTATTAAAATTTGTAATATAACATCAATATATATAGTCAGCATGTATAACAGAATATCAATGTATACGTGCTTTACGTTTTTACACTGTATTTAGAAACCTGGTATTGTTGGGCTTATCCTTCATGTGGATTTTCAAGTTTTCATGATTTACCTTAGATATTTGTTCCAGCATACTGTTTTTACCAATAACCCTTCAAAACCACTTTATTCCACGTTTATTTTACAAAACGGGTCGAAACTTTGAACCCTTTAGCCATGAAATGCTGTAAGCCACGTAAGATATAAAATATTACCTATTTAAAATAACATTGCTCAGTTTATTATAATCCTATTTACTATTATGTAAACCTAGTCTATAAAGACTCTATCAACTAATGTTTGTGTAAAGCTGACAGATTTGATTACTCTACAGTGCAGGGACCAGTGTTTTACAAAGATGACAACTTTCATTAGCCTACACTGCAAGAGCTAATGCTGTTTGAAGCTGGAAGATTTATTTACTCTAGTGTGCGCGTTTATCAGTATTCCTTCAACTTATATTGTTAAGCCAAAAATGGAAAATGTCTAATTAGTTAGAAATATTTTGCGTCAGTTTGTTTGATATATCGCATATCATCAAATAAGGTAGACAGTTGTAAATATGGAGTAGGGATATGAGTTGCTAATCATTTTTAAATGAGAACGTTCTTCAGTGAAACTAAACTGCAGCTAGTTTCATCGTTAAAACAAGTAAGCAAAATCTGATTTACGAAAACGTTCTTAAATCAGCTAAGGCTGTTTATTATGTGTCAGTGGGTTTTATCAATTTTCACGGCAAGGTGATGCCTGTACAGCGAATAAAGCCTTGTTTGAACACATTCTTTGCCCACAGATAAGGATCTACATTATTGGCACTCTACGTAATTTACAGTGTCTATCACCAGTTTGGGATAGCTACGTTAGTAACAGGGTCTTTTTTTTTAACTCACCTGGTCTGTCTAGCCCCGTAGCGCCTCCGGGGGCCGAGCAAGAGCCATCGTCGGATCCAACTGAAGCTGGAGAAGAAGCTGACTGAGATTGGGATATATTGATTCCGAGTTGTTCAGCCAGTTCTGCGTGGTCCTGCTGATGGATGAAGTCGAAAACGCTACTCCCGGTCATTTCAACCTTGTCCAATGACAACACAAGAATATTATATACAATAATAATTCCTAAATCAAGTATTAGACGATGAAATAACTTGGTTTTCCCTATCTAGTTAACCCAAATATACAAACTAAGCAAAGTGGCTTTGATGTAAATGTCTAAATATCTGTGAAGGAAATATAACATTGTAATGATAAGCAACTAGGAACACACTACGAGAGCATAGTAATAATGAGCAAGGGTAACAAAAAAATCATTGATTATTAGCTTAAGTGACACGAAGATACCACAAAGAAATATAATAAAACACAACAATGGTGAATCACTGAGATTTGAATAGCATAGACCACAGAGATAGTCAGTTATATGGTTACAGTAAGAAATAATAGTAATGATTAGCTAGTGTTACATTAAGATATCACATCAATTATCAGCTAAAGTTATGGTAATAAGTCACACTATTATCATGACCAGCTTCCAGTAACCATTTCCTCATTTGGTAACAATATCCTTGGATATATTGTTACATGTAGAGATCGTTTACCTGTTCGATTGTATTGTCATGAATAACGAATGGAACAGGATAGATGATCAAAACGTTTAAAGCTGTAACAAGGATTTAGTTTGTTGTGGTAAATGAGTGAGGGTTGGCATGTCCCTAGTTTCCCAATGAACATGTGTTCTGGTAGAAGAAAGACCAGGCAGACCAAGGACATAGAAGCCTAGACAGACACGACAAAGGCAACGCTAGGACAGCCTGCATATATATAATTAAGAAGACCTTGACTAAAAGGGAGTTTTATTATTTTTGAGCTCTGGTCAATGGGTATAACCATAAAGTAAATTTGCACTAAAAATGGTGACAGCTAGAATGTTTAGAAGAACCGTGACTTATAAACCAAAGAGTGGCAACTGTTGCTTTCTGAGCTTCATATAAATATACAGTCAACGTGTATAACTTAATATCGATTTACACGTGCCTTACCACGGACCATAACAGCAGGAACAGTAAAAGTGAACAGCCCATCCACCAGTACGATAGGTTGTTTGCTGAAGAGATAGGACATCGATAGGTCTGCCATGAGAAAGACAGAGACTACTGACAGTAATTATTTTCCGAAGCTGCCTGCTGAACTAGCTAGCTGTGTGAGTATGCTCTCATTTCCTATTCGTTTCCATACTATGTATGTATAGTTATTTATCATAAATGTTCACTGGATTTATTCTGGATGTTTACTTTTATAGTAATGAGGATTTTGGTTTAATGCGCAGACTTAAATTCTGATATTGTATTGAATATTTCTTCTTGTAAGTTGGTAATGAGCTCTGGCCAGTACTGTAGGTTTTGATTACAATAGTTCTTGAATAGAAGCATTGTTAATTTGTACATTTTCCAGCTTTAATTAAGTAGGGTTAAAATTGCCATAATTTGTATTTCATGTTTATGTACTCTTTATATATGTCGGAAAACATTTAGAAGTTCAATGTCTCAAAATGATGTGCACCTTTTACTTTCGTGTAAGAGTGTGAAAAATTGTATTATATTGACTTTTTTAGTTTAGATGTGATCTTACATTCCTGGAACCGTGTAAATGTTTTTTTTTGTTTTTTCTTTTGTTACATCTATAGTGTACTTTTGCTTTACATACTTGTGCATTAGCTTATAACTCTGATTTCAAAATGTTTGGTCTCTACAATCTGCAGCTAATATATACTGCAACAATGCTGAGCTTTGTTGTATTGTACACTATGCCTAAAACACAGTACTGAACAAAAACATTTGTAACTTCACTTGAGGTGGGGGGATCTATACATGTCAGTTATGCACCTTCAAGGTCAAAAGGGTTTGTTTGTTTTGAATTTCGTGCAAAGCTACACGAGTCAAAAGGGAAGCCAGAGTAATATCCTGTTAAGTCACTACTTTACCTACTACATAACGTCGTTATCTTTTTCATGATATTCTATGTTTCTAAAATCCACAGGGCGGACAGTCTTATCAGTTGGTGTTGCAGTTAGCCACCTTAAAATGTATTCTGCTGTTACTATAAAAGTGTCTGATCAATTATAGTCGTCTGCTGTTGCTATGGTTTTGTCAGTTATATCAGTGACTGTTGTATTTATTGTATAAATGTGACTTGATCCTGACCAATTAAGATTCTCAATTACTACTTTTTACTTCCTAAATGAATGTATATATAAATCCTATCTCTTAAACTGCCTTCACGATTTCCAGATCCAGAGAGCTAAGAGTAAAAATGGAACTTAGAAAACTGTTATTCATCTTAAAGCAAAGTATGGCCATCAAGAATCCAGCTATAAACAGTTTGGAGCATATGCTAGACTTTAACCAGATCATTCAATTACTCATGCATACAACAACTTATAAGTGGTTGTCCAGATAATCTGGTACCTAAAATCATGGTTGTCCAGGTAATTTGGTCATTTAAAACCGTATCTGTTCAGGTAATCTGGTATATAAAATCCAAATGGAGGAAGGTTACAATGTACCATCTGCAAAAACTTTCTTCCAAGAATCAAACCAACCAGATTCTGTGAACATAATTTTGATAGTTCCTTTCTGCTTTTATTGTCTACTAGCTGGAGTACCCGTCCCCTGGATGGAAGTTATGCAAATTCATGATTAATGAAAGGTTATCTTAGGACATGAAAAGCTGCTTCCCTTATATGTAATTGTAAAAAATGCCCATAAAAAACACAAAATGTGATACCGCAAGTTTGTATGTGTCTCCACATAGACCCAACAAACCTTCATACCAAATTTGGTGAAGATCCATC